AGGGTGAATCCGGCCTCGCCCATTAGTATATATATCTTATGCCAGATGAATACATGGTAAGGGGAATACGGCAAATGAGTACCTTCTATTCAGAGTTTTGGGATGTCAGGTGTTTATATGTTGGCAGGGGATGGCGCATGATCCGTACGACGGACTAATACGACAGCCTATCTCAGGAGGATTATCCCCCAGCTGCATACACTGTTACTAGGCCCAGCTCAAATCTAGATTGCCTAGCTCTAGCAAACCGCCTAAATTTATCAAATAGGCCTGGATTGATCATAGAGATACCATAAAGCGGAAAGTAACTTCATGGTGCAGTTCTCGTCGAATCACAACCCTGATACGTAGACCAATAAGATCCCAGATCCTTTCACGCAGCCCTGCGTAATGCTTGCTACGCTTCGCTCCGTGGCGCAACACAGAGCTTATGAGGATGGGAATCTTAACCTCTGAGAGATGAGGTAACTCTAAAAGTCAGCATTGGTAGTTATCGTCATACTTTAGTATATATAGTTACCCATACAGAAGGGCCTGTGAGGCTATTAACAGCTAGTCAATCATATGGCACCTGTTCCAACACCTACCCCCAGTGAGTATACAATGAGTATATGGAAACAGTCTCAATCATTGGATATACTCTACCAGCTACTCAAGAGTACAGACGCGTCCGAAATGTCCTTCCATCAGTTGTACATTCAGGTTGATTTTCAAACCCTAATCCTCTCCCGTATTCGGTTAGCACAAAACCCTATTCCTAGAGATATCCAATGATACGCCGCAAATACAACTATAGATATATTTAAGCTTCCGGGATTACCGTACCTAATCACCTGACGCCCGGCCCCACCTGACGCCCCATTTTTTGATATACACCGACTTTTCGATACTTTTCAAATCATCATAACTCTGTCAATATGGCTTCAATTGAGGCAGCGATAGCTGTGATCGAAAGCCTCAGGCCAGGAGAAAAGATAAATTACACAAAAACTGCCAAAGAGTATGGTATAAGCAGGTCTACACTATCTCGACGTCATCGTGGTGTCCAACATACTCGAGCAGAGCAATATAATAATCAACGAATCCTCAACAACGAGCAGGCCAAAACACTCATAAAATGGATCAATGATCTAACTGATAAAGGCCTTCCCCCTACGCTTGAGATGCTACGAAACTTCGCTAAGGAAATTACTGGAAAAAAGCCAGGAAAACAGTGGCCAACTCGATTTTTGAAGACATATAATGATCAGCTTACTGCCCGCTATATAACTGGGATTGACTCCCAACGCAAGCGAGCTGATTCAGCATATAAATACTCGCTTTAATTTGAGCTAATAGCTAAAAAGCTTGAGAAATATGACATACAGCCTGAAGATATGTACAATATGGATGAGAAAGGCTTTCTTATCGGAGTATTATCAAAAGGCAAAAGAATCTTTTCTCGTTCTAAATTTGAGCAGGGGGGGTTCAAGCAACGCCTTCAGGATGGGAATAGAGAATGGATTACTACAATTGCTTGTATCTCTGCAGATGGAAGCTTTCTTTCCCCGGGTCTTATATATCAAGCTGTCTCGGGTAATATCCAGGATTCCTGGCTTCAGGATTTCAATCCTGAGCATCACACATGCTTTTTTGCATCATCCCCTAGTGGCTGGACGAATGATGATATTGGATATGCCTGGCTTACCAATATCTTTGATCGAGAAACAAAGGAAAAGGCTCGAAGGCGTTGGAGGCTTCTAATCCTTGATGGCCACGGATCTCATATAACAATGAAGTTTATTAACTTCTGCGATAAGAATAAGATCCTTTTGGCTATCTATCCACCTCATTCTACGCATACACTGCAACCGCTGGATGTCAGTATCTTTGGTCCTTTGTCTACAGCGTACAGCGCTGAATTGGAGCAATTTTTACATGATTGTCAAGGAATAAGTCATGTCACAAAACGAGACTTCTTTCAGCTCTTTTGGCCAGCGTGGAATACTGCTTTATCAAAGAAAAATATTGAAAGTGCATGGGATTCTGTTGGTTTATATCCTTGGAATCCTGAAAGGATATTGATACGTTTTACTAAAAAGAATAGTACTAGACCATCATCTAGTGATTCGTCTAATTCTGTCCTAAGTGCAGAAGATTGGAGACGTATTGAAAGGCTTCTTCAGCAGACAGTTTCTGATATCTATGATAAAAAGGCTCAAAAGCTCAGTTCTACCATGTATTCTCTTTCTACCGAGAATATTCTGCTTAAGCTGCGTTGTTCAGGTCTTGAAAAGGCTTTAAAGAATGAGCAGAAGAAACGTCAGCGTGGGAAACCACTTCCATTTGATTTACGTGCTTTGGAAGATGGTAATGCAATCTTTTACTCACCTAATAAGATTCAAGAAGCTCGGGATCTTCAGGCTCAGAAAGATGAAGCTATACAACTTGATAAAGCTGCCAAGCAAGATAGAAAGCTTCGTCGGGAACAGGAAAAGAAAGAAAAGCAGCTTCTAATAGAAGAACGCAAGAGAATCCGAGCTTTAAATAAGGAGATACGTGAGCAGACAAACGTTCAAAAGCAACGCCAAAAGGAAGAAGAAAAGCTTATCAAAAAAGCTAATCTACAGCTTCAAAATGATATGAATCAGGCTGCTAAAGGCAAGGCTAAGGCCTCTATACCGTCAACTCCAAAAATTAGGAAGGATATTAGTGATCAAAATGAGGTTGTTGTTGCAGAGGCTTCATATAGTGTAAATCGTCGGGGTAGGCAGATCCGTCTACCTGCGCGCTTTCGGGATCATTAAAATAGTGATATATTTTCTATATAGTTCAAATACTAAACCACCAAGAAATCACACGATAGTAAGCAATATATGTGGTTGTAGAGCTTCATCTTTAACTCCGGTTTTCATAGGAAATCGGGCGTCATGTGGAGGCGGGCGTCAGGTGATCAGGTACGGTAGGGTTTGAAAATCAACCTGAATGTAGAACTGATGGAAGGACATTTCGGACGCGTCTGTATAAAGGGTAGATTAGCTAGTGGAACCAAATAATTCTCGCGTTACTGTAGCTATTTAATGTATGACCATATTTGTACTATCTAATCAGAATCACAAGAATAAAGAAGGAACAGAAGTAAGTACTACTTAGTCGTCAAGAATAGCAGGGCACACTAAGTCATATGGCCCCGAACGCAAGAGTGCATCCAAATATCACCACAGCAATGCACATGGCCCCCACACTATACTGCCCCGCTGGTCCCTCATCCCCAGGGGTAATCAGGGGCAAGCCGCTGTGGACAACCTTCTGAATCGCTGACTGAAGCCCGAGTATGAAGATTGTTGAGACAATAAAACACGCAAGACACCCTGCACTCGGCACCGCCATCGCTGCGCAATTCACCCATTTGTAGCTGGACCATAGTCCTGTCGCGAAAAGCATTGTTGCTAACATATTAACGAGCATTAGACAAAGGCCCACTAGTACTGCAGGTCGTGCACTTCCGAGAACCCTATCGGCGGCCTGATCTCCAAAAGTTTGCAGACGTTCGAAAGTGTCCCCAAGAACGGATTCCACTGGCGCTGGCAACGTAGTAGATATATTTGCGGGAAGTGAGTGACATTCAGTTCGGTTTGAATTAAACTCGATGCACAGTTGTTCGGTGCCAATAGAGATCGCCTGAGGAACACTATCGAGTCCTAGATGTAATCCGGGTATACGAGCAGCTGCTGTGGCGAGGGTTTCAACCCCGTCTGTTACCATTGTGGCCACTTCAACAGGTCTTGTTAAAACCGTGGTTGGTGTGCTTTCAATAACAGTCTTCATATTGTCGGTTAGGTCTTGTGCACTAGGTGGCAGAGAATCCGGCAGCCCGCGATGCTTGATGGTATGTGGCTGTGGAAGGTGGTTTGTCCAGTTAATCTAGGAAGAAAGATCAGCATAAGCACAGAGATAATGGCACTGATGAGTAGCTAGTATGTACGACGAACATGAATGGTTGCAATGCCTCTTTTCTTGACTATTGGACTACATAGGAAAATAATAGCCAAAATCACTGCCACCAGCGATGCTACGAAAAGACCGATAGAAATTAGCACCACCATTCGCTTTTTCCAGACATCTTTCCTCTGGGAGGTGACTGGAGACAAGGCATCTTCCATCCCAGAGTTACCACCGCGTGATATAAATGTAGTGCGTTTTTCTGGCCGACTATATGCCCCTGCGATTCGAACCTTAGTCACTGTTTCTGTAATATTTGCCAGGGTAGGCTTAGAAATCTCGGAATGCATTTCCAAACAGAAAAAAGTATTAATAAATAGTAGAAAGAGATCTACTTGTATAACAATAAACGAAGCACCAAATTCTATGGCCGAATAGGGACGAGTTAGCCCTGCTTTATATTTACTGTCAAAGAGACCCCTCAAGAATGCATATAATGAAAACGCGCCTTCATATTGCTAACATAGGGCTGATAAAAAACATCGAAAGATGCTCTTATGTAAATCATTCTAGATCTCGGAGAATATTAATTGTGTGTTCTTTCTACTTAAGTGTTATAAATAATCCTCATCGTAAGTACAGTAATGTTGGTTTACCATATATAAACTATATACAACTGCCGAAATATAAGAAGCAGAAAGAAATGCAAAGGGAAGATTTCAATTAAATTAGTAATTCCGCGCTTTAAGTGACTGTTAGCTTATATGTTATCTGGTAGTAAAAGTTGTTATTGGGTATCTTATTTTAGTAATACGGGTGTCGTTAGGTTTCTACATGATAAATTCCCTGGCAGAATCCCAGCGTTATGAACAATATGCCTACTGTTCATTGCGTATTCCGCCCTTTAACTCTCTCCACTTAGCGCAACTATCCACTATCTTAGTGTATCACCAGTGGTACGCTAAGCTACTTGTAGACTAGTTCCCGGACAGGTATCTACGGGTAATCTCGGAAAACGGAGACTTTGGACACTATCTCCCACATGATTCGGTATCGATTCACAAATCCCTTGCAATGTGGGACAAATTATTATCAAAATATATATTGCCCTGCCTCCCGTTACTAATTGTTGACATATGCACTTATGTCTGTTAAGAACATCTACTGTACTATGTACCGAAAGAGGGAGAGAATTCCAGGCCTTCGCAATATCTCCCGGCGTCGGGAAACTATTTTCCGAAAATGCAGCGAGCTCAGCCGATTCGGTGTTGATGTGTGGGTAGTAATCTGCACTGGAGCTCGGAGCAATGTTTTTCGATCTTCGGAATCTGAATTATTCGGCTCTTTAGACCGCCAAATAGTACGCTGTCACTTCCTTACGTCTATCGATATGATTGATTGCACAGACACTGACTATCTCTTATCTAGATGCGTGCATCTTATCGCCCGACCTGGAAAGGACTGCGCGATTATGATAGAAGACTACGTGAACGCCGTCCCCTAAAGTTGGTTGAGCGGCTCGAGGCGGCAAGTAATGATGTTTCTGCGATCGCTGGTTACCACAAATAGACCTCCCACAGAGCCATTATACTCCATTGGTTTAAAGATACAGGCAGAGCTTTCCTGGCCTGGGTTTCTTCGAGCCTGACAGGGAGAACATATGCAAAAGGATTTAATTGATACTGTAGCAATCTGCTATGGAATTTTACTGGTGTACTCTTACTTTTTAACAAGGTATAGTATCCACACAAGCCTAATGATCAGACAAATAGTGCTTGAATACTTTTGAAAGCTCAGGGAAGAACGGCTGTGTATCCTAATGTAGCTATCTGCCGCGCATACGAAAGAATACACATATTTGTTGAACAGTGCTTGGAGTGGAAATAATTAACAGTGATGACGCAGCCCGAGAGTCTTCCTTAATTATAATAGACATGTAGGGTCGAGTCCTTATATTTATGTTCATGTATAGCATTCTTACTACAGAGATGTGCAAAACCAGCTTCACTGATTTGCACTCTTTCATTAACTGAGGGCCCCATTGCCAAGACACTAGCCGGGAAATTGAGTGCGGGTTATTGGGCTCTGCATGCAACATGTGAGCATCAACGTTTGGCGAGCAGCTCCACCAATTAAGTTCTGAAGCTACAATTTTGACTGAATTATGAGTATGATTATTCATATGTAGGAGTATAGAATAACTCGACTATGATTAAATCGATAGTCAAAGAAATTTAGAATTCTATGAATTTCCGAAATGCGCTTTAATCAGCGAAATAGACTGGTGGCGACTGGACCCTATGGATTCGCCACTGTATTGAAATCTAGAGGAAGCATACAGCATGTTTTAGAAGATAGTGAAGTCTAAATAAATCCTGTTCCTCTCCCAGGACCCCCTTCTGGAAAGAGATCAGGAAATAGTGAAAGGAAGAAACCGGAAATTAATTAAAGTCTATTATATCCGAAATCCTATAAAGGAAATCCGACCTGACGCATGCCCCAAGGCAAGCATATTTGATTTTATCGCCGAACAAGACGGCCGAGACTCAGGAGGAAGCCATAATACTTGTTTCCCGTTCAAAGCTATCCAATAACCACGCTGTATAGATACCTCTGGATTCATATTGAGTGAATTGAAGATAGGATTGCCACATCTAGATTGAATCTTGAATGATCCTAGGTTAGTGGTGAGATATGAACCATCTTTAGAAAATTCAAGTTCAGTAACAGTTCCATCAATACTCAAGGTTTCTTGTAGGGCACCCGTCATTGGGTCCCAGAGCCGCACTGTGTTATCATCGGAGCCGGACGCCAGCAGCCGGCCATCAGGTGAGAAGACTACCGTATTAATCCAGCCTGAATGACCCTTGAGAGTCTGCTGTAGGGCACCTGTTGCCGGGTCCCAGAGCCGGATTGTCTCATCATTGGAACCGGACGCCAGCAGCCGCATATCAGGTGAAAAGGCCACTGACTGAACTGAGCCTGAATGGCCCTCAAGAGTTTGAAATTCTGCAGTCCAATTCTCCTTAACTTCTGGCAACTGGCATATCCAACTAGGAAGGTCTTGCTTGAACTCATTACGGATTATTGCGGGTGCAAATACTAAGCCTGCGTGATAAACCTGGAGTGGTCCTTCGTCGGCTATCCGACGATTCTTCTGAACAAAGTGCTTTGCAGCATGTAGAAAGTCAGCCAATACAGAATCATCATCACCCTGTGCCTATTAGTATTAAATCACAAATAGCTGCCCTGCTATATACTTACAGGTATAACTGTATGGAGAAGATCAAGCATACCCACCATCTCCGATATAAGACCCAGCAGGCTCATTGCTTCCATCCAGTGCAGAAAATGCTTCTGGAGGAATAGCTGCACATCTTCTATTTCATACGAAGCCTGACTTTGCTTAAGATGGTGTATCCAATAGCGACAGGAATATTGCAACTCCGGTGGTAGATTCTGGTGAATAATTCGAAAATTGATTTCTGTCCTACGCGTTCCAGGGCTTGAAAGGTTGCAGATATCTTTATGTAGAAGACTCCGCATAGTTCTGAGACATGATTTAGCAATGTCTTTGTGCTTGCTTGGCTCGTCCACACGAAACTTCGTTCTAAACTGGATCAAAAAGTCCCGGAACGACAGATGTAGAATCCTAACAGGCTGATCTCGGTCTTCGGGGATGCTTAAGACCGATCGGAATGAATCCAATCGATTCCTGATCTGGTCTGCTCCTATTCCAAGAAATAGTGATAGTGTATTTATAGAAAGCGGAACTGCAAGAAGGATGATGACACCTACAATATCCTGGAACTCTTGTAGAAGCTGCTGCTGTTCTGACTCATCACTCTCTTGGTCATTGAGTAGTTGCATCAGAATTGGCAGATATATCTTATCCATTCTCGACACATACTTCGCTTGGTCCTTTAGAAGCTCTGTAAGACGCAATTTGGGTTCCCATTTTGAATTTTCAATGTAACGGCATACAGTGGCAGCTGAAATAAACAGTGGAACAGATATCTTGACCAGTTCTTGGATGACGTCATTGCTAGGCCAGTTTTCGGAGATTCTTCTATCATGTTTGATTTTTGCAAATCGGTCTTGTAGGAATAAATATATATCGCATCTGGTTACTTCTTCAGGTATCTCATGAAGAGCTAGGTCCTGATATTCATGGTTCCCAATCTCTGAAAATCCAAGGCTGATTAGGAGTTCAGGCCTGGTGGTCAAGAAGATCCGAAGGCGAACTGATTTTGCCTTCCGCAGAAGAGGTAGCAATCGAATAATGTTTCGGACATCTTGATCATTTTCACATTCATCCAAAGCGTCAACCACCAGCACAGCGATTTGAGGTTGTCGGCCGAGTTAGTCAAGTCTGAGCAGCGGTTGAAGGAGCAGTTTCTCAAACTGCTCCCTGAGTGATTTTGATGTAATGTCAGGGTCATGATTGAGTGTCTTTTGTACACCAAACCTCAGCTCAGAGTTCCAGAGCATCAATTGCCTTGTTAACGTCGGGAAAAACTTCTTTGCGTTTCCTCGGTCCCCGTCACCCCTCTTAAAGAAGAAGCTGGCACCTAGATTGTTTGTGTCCCTGAGCGACCTTGCCACAGTCCGAGATATTGTGGATTTTCCCGTCCCAGCCATTCCCTTTAACCAGAAAATGCTCTTTGGGGATGGTGAAATAGACCATTTCATTATCTTCTGGAGGAGCTCCGTCCTAGTGCCTTGGAGACATTGGACTTCGTCTCGATCGGAGAATGACTCAAACCCTGCCTCTACTGACCCTTCCAACTTCACAAGATCAATATGTTGATTGATACGATCTGTATTCCGGGAGACACCAGCCATCATAGAACTATACAGATCATGAGTAAATTGTACAGAGCTGGAGTATTCTGAATGATGAACTTACGTCTGATCCACCTGTAACGATAAGAGGAATGAAGATTTATATCTCTCCATGTTCTTCACAATGCCCTTAGTCTCTGTGCGTTTCAGGGGCCACTTTAAGGCTCGCAATCCCACTTTCCTCATCAGACGTTTCCCCCTTCCTGGATCAAGTCTTACTTCCAAGGCTTGGAGGTCGGAGAGGCAATGCGCAATATCGCTAACTAGTCGCGAGGATGTGGGCAGCGCCCTTCCGCTATCACTTTGAAGGAAGCTCTTCAGGTCTTGCAGTGTCCCTTCGAGACTTACAATCGCCTTTTGCATGGTTAGAATATCGTTTCGCGCATTGTTCACCTCCTGAATGTAGCCCCCGCAAAGCTTTACGAGGCTTCCCGTCAGTTGAATAACGGCGATGACGCTCGCCGTTGAGGATACACCATCCATTTGGACGGACACAGCATCAAATCATATTCCCACACAGATATGTACGATGGCGACCCGGGTGTAAGACCTCCGGTCTGAAATATAGGCTGGGCATTTTCTGACGAGCTGAAGCGGGGTAATTTAGGCCTCAGGCGCGAGGCTGTAATTCAAATTCCATGCACATAAACTAAACTGACTAATCGTGCAGTTTCATAACCAGCACACCACTATGACTGGTTGAGCATGCACTACCTAGTTCTACTGTCGGCCCGAACCGACCCAGACCCATCTCAGTTGCCTGTGTCCCTAGCCAACCTCACCAACTTGATTAAGAGCATGACATGTCGATTATGGCAGCCACGGCTTGTACCATCCCAGCTTGTTATGACCCGTGATATGATCAGCAGCAAGTCGCTGTCTACTTCTCAGGTGGCAGAAGCGGCTGGCTGCAGCAAGCATTCGATCATAACGATCAGTGCGAATCTCCGAATGTTTGGCGATGTCTGAGCACCCTTGATCCTTGGCGGCCGTCCTCCTAGGATTACGCCCATCATGCTTGAAACGCTCTGCGACTATTTGCTAGAGAAACCGGATCTATACCTGGACAAGATGGCAGAGTTCCTGTACGATGAATTCAATGTGCTCCTAACGACGTACACCGTCAGTCGCGCCCTTCGAACACAAGGTTGGACAAAGAAAGTGGCTCGAAAGGTAGCACAAGAAAGAAACGCGGATCTGTGGGATCACTATCTGTACCAAATGTTAGATTTCCGCTCGTATCACCTAGCCTATGTAGATAAATCAGGCTGGTCTCTACACAGAGTGTCACCTGTCCATGTTTCCTCTTTCCAGTGGGGTCGGCGATGCCAGATTCTTCCCGCATATTGCTAGGATGGTATTTTGATGTCGCGAGTCTTCCAAGGATGGAATGATGCGAATATATTCGAGGATTTTGTTAAACAGCTTCTTCAGTATTACAGCTGATGGCCAGAGCCAGTCTGTTCTTATTATAGTCAACGCATTGTTTTACTATACTGGGCGGATACAAGTGCTGTGCTCAAATACTGGTGTCAAACTGTTGTATCTACCACCGTACTTGCCTGATCTTAATCCAATTGAAGAGTTCTTTGCAGAGCCCAAAGCGTTTGTGAGACGAAATTAGCAAAAATCCAGATATCAAAATTTTGAAGACTTCCTTGAACGGAGTCTGGATGTCATGGGACCTAGAAAAGAAAGTGCGCAAAGCCATATTCGACATGCAAACATTGAAGTCAAAGAGCAATAAATATAGACGTATCGTATCTCGCAGAGTATGCACTACAAGCTTATGACTCCTTTCTTACCAGGTTTAGCTTTGACAAGAGTGCCCATTATAGTGGTTCCTGATAAGCCGGGAAGCCGGTACTCGACCACAGGAATTAGGGGTGAAATATCAGACATTGTCAGCTTCTAGAGTAGGCTGCAGAACATGGGCTGAACGGTTTGCCTCCATTCCAAGGGGCAATCGACGGTCATGTTAAACAGAGACCTCATGACGTAATATGTAAAGGTCCATTTCAACGTACCCATTTTTTAGGCTAGAGTCTTGGCGGTGGGGCCCTGGATTAAGAGAAGAGTGCAAATTGGTGAAGCTGTTTTTGCACTTGGCTGTATGAAGCTAGGCCAGGTTAGGCCCAGTTACCACCACGGTAGATCTTAAATGAGAAGGCACTGCTGCAGGGTGGATAGGACATAATCGATCCTGAGCAATAATCGCATACCGGTGATTCGCATGATTTTGAGAATACTGGGCAAATAGGCGATCCACACGCGCCAGTGGCAGATAGAAAACAGTAGCAGGAATACCAATCTCATATAGAATACCCTTATCACCAGATAGTGATTTTAAAGGTGCCGTGTAGTCCTGTGGCTTGTGAATTGTTTTTTCACCAAGTAGTCCTGGCGCTGCTGGTGGCTGCTCATATTCTAATGACATATCCAAGGAACAGGCGCTTGAAAGAGACTTTGCTCTTAAATCTGGGGAATAATACGGATTTAGATTTCCATATTTTGTCATCTCAACCAGTGCGGTGAATGGCTCCGGTGACTGCCTTCTGCTAGATAGCGCTGTAGTGGTCTCGTAGACGGAAGCGCTGTACGTTGTGCTTAGCGGTGGGCGAATAAGGGAAAACGTGGCCCAGCATCTTTGCGATTCCTCTTGCGATCGATAGAGCCTTCTCTCTGCACCTCGGTGGTCGAGCAATGGCATTGCCCCGATTAAGATAGGGAAATGCTGTACTGTATACAACCAAAGACGCCGATATGCCTGTAGAAATCCTGATTGACCAGTATGCCGAGACCGTCGCCGTGGGCGAAACTGATGCCAGAGAGATTTCCGGATCGTGTCTCTCGGGCCATCCGGAATCAGCCTGCGTAAGGCCAGAGCACAGGGCAAGAAGTACTTTGTATCTTCCATAAAAGTGTACATCGACGGCATTATCCTCGAGATGGATAAGACTCGACGCCCAATTGCTTTACGTGTTGCTTGGTCTGTCACCCGTGGCATCAAGGAGCCAGATCTGAGCAACTGAGAGATGTACACATGGTCATTAGTGGACCACACCGGTGACCGTCCTTGCAGCATTTCCACCGACTCGGGATCTAAATCTCCCATGTTTCCAGCCCCCATGATCAATGTCTATGTATCTAGTATATGTCGAAGGTAGTGAGCAAGCTCCTAGTGTTACCTAGGATCAATGACTGTAGTAGTCGGTTAAGAGTAATCAAGACATACATCAGGAGACTTCATCCGGAGCAGCCTATTGATTTTGCCCGCCGTAAAGCCGGGCTGCAGGCTCTGATGCTGGAGCACTTGAGCTAGTATGTCAAGCATTGGTCGGTCTTGCTTCCGGGTGTAGATACGCTCAATAACGCCTCTCTCGCTTGAACCTAGACGGGAGAGGCACCTCCGTGTTGCCGGTGGTATTAGCTCGGACTCTGGTTGGAGAAAGCTATTATCTTCAGACAAGACCACTTCTTCGGGGTATTCCTTTCGCATATTGTAGGTATGTATTCAAGCCAAATATCAATCTAAGATTCGATGTCTCTATTGCCGCAAGTCACAGTATTTATTGAGATCATGATTCAAAAAGGTCCTCCACTCATTGGGTTGAGAGAATTCTTATATTATACATGGTGTGAGAATAGATTTATAATCCATGGTTCCAGATGTAGAAAAAAAAGATAGGACACAGGCAACGCATAACAAATCGTCTAAGCCACTGACAAGATTTGCTTTTTGCTATGCCATGAAACACAACTCCATTACCGAAAATAAGTTGATATCAGAAAGAAGTATTATCAATTTCACTTTGCACTACAGTATATTAGCTAAATAAGTAGTATTACCAACATTCTCGTCACACTAGAGGATATTTTGTCTATTCATCTTCCATTTAGCACAATATGCTACCCATATGCCTTTTCTTCTGAAATATCTTAATAGATAAGGGATAGATAAAGTCAAAAGTAGAGAGCTATGAACCCGAACTATGCTAACACTTCTAACACTCTGTAAGCTTTCTCATCAATTAAACCAAATAATGAAGAATGGAGAGCGGTACATATTATGTGACAGTCGAAGCTATTGGTCATTCTCTTCTTTGAGGGCCTTGATAGGAGGCTGTCGGACAGCTCGGCTCAAGAAGGACAAGCTCATCCGTGCCATGCATATCGGAGCACCGTCCATTATCACCATCAACTCTATTAGGTAGGCTCCGTGGAGGGTCTCTTGCGGTATAGAAAGGGAGCCCCCCTTGTTCTGCTTGTCGGTTCATCCAGTGCTCACGAATCTGATCCAGAGCTACTTTGAAATCATCTAAGATAACTGTGTCACACATGCACTTGAAGACAAACGACAGCTTGTATAACGATTCGGGTTAGGCACAGTTTGTTTAATTGTTGGGCACCAGTATACCTCTTACCTTCCAAAATGGCTCAATCCCAGCTGGTAGGGCAGTGGAGATTACACCGAATACGGCGCAAATATCTATTATTATGAACCCAACAGAAAGACACATCAGAATTAACATAATACCGAACCGTGGGCTGACTTGTATGAGAGTCGGTAAGCTCAATGCATAGCACTTATTGATCGCATGACATAGTGCATAGCTAGCGTATAACCACCACGGTTCTCTGAAAGTTATTAGAAATCCGGACGTTATATATGGTGGGAAGTACAGACCGGAAGAATGGCTCCAGAAACCTTGTTTTGAGGAAGAGAAGCTTTCCCTGATTGAAGAAGGAAAAATTTGCGTAGGTCTCCAGTAGCCAATACGGTTGGGCCAAGAGCAAACTGCCCAGAAAGACTCGCGACCCCCAGGGAGGTAAAAATGGTTTGATCTTGATCCATGCGATTATATTATGCAGGGTATAAGATATATTTAGGCCGATGGCAGTAATGGATAAATACCAGCCATATACTGGTTTATGAAAGAAGATGAAGGCACCATGGCCAGCGGCTAGCAGAAGCTATGGAAAGGGTATAAGGCTCATGTACAAATGGTTCAAGATACTGACCGAGATAAATCGACTTACCTCAAGTACAATGAGCTTGTGTAACATTTTGGACCTCTTCATGTTGGATGCAGTTAATACTAGCATCACAACTAGCGCACCTACCAATAGCCCTTGTCCCCAGGCTTCCAGAACCAGACCATCTAAGTCTTTTGGTCTGTCAGCTGCAGTATCAAAAGATACGGGGTTCATTTTCGAAAGAAAGGGTGACATATGATGGGAAATAAAGAAAGAGGAGAGCTCATCAGATGTAGCTAACTTGTAGAATAGAGATGTATACTCCTATACAGGTTCATCTGTTGTATATATCCATTTAGAATCATGCCACGAAAACCTCCCTGTGAACATTCCTCTGTAGAAGAAGACTTGCAGCATTCATGTTAGTAGGTTATTCTGAAAGAATGTTTGAGAGACTTCTACTGGCTACGTACAGTCCCAAATAGTCAAGCTATGGTTGGAATCCACCACCAGGTTACTCATGCCTCATGCTATCTCCCTAGTGAGTATGGTTTGGTTGGCCCTGCTAAATAATTCTGCTATTACCGTATGTCTAGAAAGCTATTTACCCATCGTATTACAGATTGAGATATCTAGTTTGTTGCCTCCCTTACTGGGTCTAACTGAACATAGCAGGAGAATGTTTAACTCAATTCGCAAGGAGAGTAACAAAAAAGGCGGTATAGGATTTCCATCTTGAAGCAACGACTATATTGGATATCTGTTTTCTTTCACAAGGACGGCGACATGAGTCTTGTCTTTGCACATTTATATTTGCAAAGGCCATTCTTGGTCGACTTCCTCTGAGCGTAGGCAGAGCAACAATTCATCTTTCATATCCAATTCTTTTTCAGTAGAACGCTATATGCTATGATAATCTATAGCATATGGATTCCTCGCTCGTTATCGCTTTTATACTAATAAACGATGACCGCAATCCTGTAAAAGACGATGGACTTGAAAGTAGCTGTGCTGAAACTACCAGCGAAGAAATAATATACAGCATGTTCAATGACGAGGCATGAAGAGCATCGATAGTATCAATAAAGTTGTCACTCTACATACCTTTGGCTTCCCTGTCTGTACAACTCAATGTATTGTGGCTGCTTTGCTAATTAGTTAATACTAGTATAAATTATTCCACTGGTGCCAGAGGTTTGAATGTGAATTATTGTTGTTCTCGATGCATCAGCTGTAATGAATCGATAACTGGTAAACTATTATACCTGCACAGCCTTACGGCTTTCGGGGTGTGGGAAGGAACTATTGGACACGTATAGTCTTGTGATGCCCGGGGTTACGCAGTTTCACATTCTTGTTGCAGAACCCTTCTTAAATTAAAGCTCGATGAGATGGCTGATACACCCCGATACTGAATTGAAGGTATGATTAAACCCCTTGTAATGTATATGTTACTCAGCCAATAAGCAAAATAGGAATCTCTAGATGAAAAGAATGACGGGGTTTGCCTCTCACTGAACCGCATCAGATGTAAATATATTGCAGATGAGGTGATATACAGCGAAGAGCATGTAGTATCCACCACAGGGCTGCAACATTATCGCCTTATTGTTTAACTCTCTGTTCTTGAACAATCAGGATTGTTTCGACCGTCAAATAACATGCTCTTTCCCTTGCCATTACAGGCTAATTAGACAAACCCCATGTCCGCCTTCACGATATCAGATGAATCTGCCAAACTCAGATGGTTCTTGACAAATTTAGGCCACGTGTTGGTGAGTACAAGATACTTGATACTATCCTGCGCGTCATCGAAGACTGTCGTGTTGAATGTCTCTGGGACAGCCCCCATGTAGAAACTGGGGGTCTCCTGGCTCAACGCTTCCAATGACACCGGTGATAAGCGTGCCTTGGAGGAGCCGTCGGGCGTCTCGAACGGTGTGGCAGGATTAACATCATGCAGGTTTCCGTACAGAGCCCGGCCGGGACCCTCAAAAACAACTTCGAGTCTTTTAAGGTCTCTGGAAGAGATATTCACAGGAAATTCGGCATAGTAAACGCTAACAAAATCGACGTATATAGATAGGGCTTGGTTAAATTGTTCCCTCGTGTAGCAGTCGGCCCTAGGGACGGTGCCATTTTGAACGGCCTCCTGTAGCGAATTTTTCCATTGGGACACGCTGACCAAGAAGGCAATATTCTCACCAGAGAAGTCATGCAGCGCAGCAAATCTCTGAGGAGTGGGGTTTTGTTCAAGGATATAATCAAGACTTGTGAGGGTCAAAGTATTGTGTCGAGTGTCGTTGCTCATCCTGGCAGTGCTATTCTCTAGATTCAAGTCAGATGTGGCCGTATTCGCTATGGTAAATGTCGGGCTGAGACTATTATATTTTGAGATAGCCATTTCGTGTTGCAGTTTCTTTTGTGCAATTAGGTTGCGCATCCTTTCACAAGAAGCCCCATTACGCCTCACCTCCCAGCAGGGAATAAGTACCGTGAAGATCTCTATTACCAGAATTGAAAGACAGATCCTATATTCAAATCAGGGGAATTAACACAACTGATTTTGGTTGGGAGCGCCTACCACTGTGGCGGCCGCCAGTACTGGTTGACTGACTTCATTGCGGGCACATAAAGAGCGATGAGCCACATGGGAGTGGCGTGAAGACTATAGATATTAGGGACAGAGCTTCATTCTCAGCCTAGCACTTACTTCGCGATAGCGCAACCAAGTGTCTGGACTCGCCAGCCTTGCGTATCGTGGATCCGCCGAGATTTCCAGAGGATTATTGGGGCAAAAATCCAAGACCAGAAGACCTGCCAGAATATGCCAGGCCACCTGCGTATCCGTTAGATGTATGCGGTCTTTGGACGAATGATAGACATTAAATCCTTTTACTTCTTACCATTCCCACCCTCGACCCATCTCTGACTTCTGTTCCATTTCGGTACCATGGACTTCGGTACCAGGAATACCCTAGGAGCTGTGCCACTTACGAGATAACACCCACATTAGGACCGTAAGAGTGAGCTGGCTGGTCAGTTAGATGAAATGTGTCGGTAAAACTTATGAGTGTAAGCGGCTATCGCACCTGGCACAGGAGAGAGATACAAATAATAATGAATAATTTCGGGGCATTCCCAAGCACGCTTGGTTTGGGCCTTGAGCCAGGGGAAGAGCGGATGCAGCGGCTGTTGTAGTGGACATATTTTTTCTGAAGCGCAGCAACATAGAGAAACTGGCTGTTGGATGCATGGAATAGGGCAATCCCGCATGGCAAATAGGTACCCATGATCCAATACTCGATATCTCCAGGCATCAATGCGCCAATCATGCATCCAAACTGAACAGATACCCAGTAAATATGAAGAACAGCAATGGCAGACAGTGATAGAGGTAGACCTCGAACTCGGAGTACAGGCATGTTTCGGTGGGCGATTAGATAGGCAATACCAAAGGCGATGATAGCGGTCCAGCTACATCCCTAGCAAACCCACCATATACTCACCGGGGTATATGACAGCTGTGGCTCAGAGTCAGAATTAACTCCGAGTTCTGATCCCATACTGTGTGAAGTTTCTCGTCTTCCTATTCTGAACAGACATAAGCAATTGACCTAAGGCGTGGTCTAGGAAACAGTGACAAGCTCGCCTGGGGCTCGTCAGCAACCTAAAAGTTGTCTGCTGTGCAAGGAGTATCAGAAGCAAATTGGGAAATGATCCAGGTCTGCTAAAGGCATGGTACTTATTATACAGTGCTGAGCAAGTGTCATTTGCCTAAGTGAGCCAGTGTGGTTCTGCTTGTAAGGGGTTTTGGCCTTCGGTTGTACTTTAATGAATAATATCCATTGATAACCATTAATATTGAGATAATCCAGTTATTCCTGTGTTTTTATTACGTGTGACATTGTGCAAACTGTTTTCAAAAAAGTCAGAGTTATGAATCCATTGGGCCTTCTCTCCTTATTCGACCAAGTACTATAGCACTTTTTGACTGTGTTAATCAATGTGAGAAATATCACTCTTTACATTATTAGGACTATTTGTAACTATAGTCTAATGACTATACACCAAGAGTAATGAAATGTGTAATGATATTTGGTAAAGCAGGGAGTCGGAAGTGCAACCGACTTGTGGCTTTAGAATATCTGATTTATCACGGGTAATACACTATACCCAAGATAGCCTAGCGTGTCACGTGTAACTAACCCCCAACTAGAAGAGGGTATGAAGAAGTCATGCCAATTGCTAGGCGACAGTCAAGTTTAGCAGGCCTCCGTGGTCGGATTCATTATACAGGAAACTTACTATCATTCAACACGGAATCATAGCATTGGAGTATTTGCTTAGTGAGGCATTCTTTCCACACTCTTATCATAGCCCCCCACATACTACTCTATATAATCAACATTTACTAGTAACACAGTAGCTCTCACAGATACCTCTATTAATGGGTAAAAATATCAAAACTGCAATCTTGGCAAAATATCAAGATCCTATAGGTTTTGAACTAACGCTATTTGATAAGTATTGTCAGACAATATAGGACGGAGTAAATTGCAGCAGGAGATCCACGTTCCACTAGTCAACAATTCCATTTGTTATATATAAGGCGCGTGGTTTCCCTGGCAAGGCAACTATTTCCATATAGTCATGAAAATTTAATTGGAGCAAACAGCGCCAGCCATATTGAATAACATGGAGGAAACATCGCTTCCCATACAGCCATTGACACCTGTAAGAATTCCGAAGGCGTCAGACCGCGCAGAGTCCCTCTCCTCAATGACGCCGAGTGGATCCTTGCCGACCCAACCGACACAAATAAATGGCAAACCCAAGCGGAGGGGCTCATTGACTAATAATAATGAGTACCAAGCGCCTTTGCAAAAGAAAGCAAAGTTGGAAGAGGAAACCGCCTCATCCGCTCCTGTTCCTGCCGCGGGACCTTTACCGAGTGTTCTCAGTCTGAGTGCACAAACTCCAGGTCCTCGGTTGCTGCCAAGCCCCATTCCACGCTATAGACAGCGACAGCGGGTTGGTTCATTCATACAACAGCCCCCCCCACAGCGATATCCCCCAATACTTCTTGCACCATTTCCATTCACTCACCACCCTCATGAACATAACGAAGAAGTCTACAATGAGCTTGCTCATTGGTACCAGCAGTAAGTCAATGAGTCCTCAATGAGACATTTCCGAGTTGTTAATCAGATTCCACAGGTTCCGACCGCAGATGTGGTCACTAGTAGCTTCGGTGATGGGAATACGCTGGGAGCAAGCGGAAGAGATTGGATGGCACATGGGCTGGAACGAGATTATGCGGCGCTCCAGCAGACCATCAACAGCTCATTAAAGTATTACTGAGAAGCATACATTGGGGGTATAATATGTCGGATTATAGGACTCTCTTCATATTATTCTAGGAGAATCATTACTTGCATTTTTGCTTATCGAAAGATAAATTCTTCAGTCATGGTATAAGGAACACAGCTCTTCAGACATGCTTTAAACTGTGGTCTAGATTAACTTTGCATAGCTTGTGGATATGTATCATATACGAAGTTGTATCAACGCCGATTGTGCAATCCCTGGTGTGATAGTTGAGCATAATCTCGCTAGGTAATTTGTCCTAGGCTTTAACTCCTATTGGGCCCTTTTAAAGTGTTACTATGTGTGTTACTAATTCCGATGATATACTGCAAAGGCGGCTAATCGCGTCCTAGTGGCCCATAAATTGCAGCGGCGCTGCCTTTCTATAAGGAAACAGTCAATAACTTTGTGAGTCAATATCTGCTGCCATGGGTTTATCCGTGCGAAATATCAGGTCTACAAGAATCCTGTTACGCAGGGTGATGACAATCTGGCCGAACTGGCAACGCGCCGGGACGTGGTCTCCTCGATTGAAGGATCTTGCCAGACACCCATTAATCGGATAAATTTCTACTCCGGTCTAAAGAGCATAGGAATGGTCGAGGGCCCAGCCTTCTGGTGTGTCAAGGAAGGATTCTATGACGACCAATACCGCGTCAGAGCGACAATCGGGCTCTTCCGCTGGCCCGAAGATGGCTTTCCACAGCCTCACGTTATCCATCCAACGTCCTTGGACAGTATCTTTCACCTAGCACTCATCGGATATTGCCATAGTGGCAAAAGGACTGTTCCCACCATGATTCCTTCATCTCTGCGCCGACTGTATGTCAGCAGGACGGGATTGAGCTATCCAGATAGTGACGAGGTCCAGGAGTATACCTGGCCAGAAATATTAGACCGTCGTGGAGCGTGCTTCAGTGGGTTCGCTTTGAATCAGAGTAATGGTGCTTTGTCGGTGCAGTTTAGTGATCTGAGATTGACTACCATCGCCAGCTCTAGAGATGATTCTGTTGCTGATACACTGGGCGGGCTGCAACTGGCATATCAAATACAGTATCAGCCCGAGCCCGATTTCCTGGACCCCAAAGGTGTGCTTCTGAATGACAAACATACATCTAGGTAGGACTCGTTAACAGTAGAACGCTATATGGATATGCTCGCCCACAGAAATGGCGATCTTCGCATCTTGGAGCTGAATGTTGGGGATCGAAGCTCAACAAAAGCCTTGCTGCATACCCTGTCCGTGTACAATGAGGCCGGTGGAATAGTCTATCCCAGGTATTCCTCGTTCACCATGACAGTGGTTCGCAAGAAATGAAAGAACGAGAACGCACTAATACGAATGGTGGGCCTGTCAGACTCACCAATTTCTCCACCGAAGGCGTGACGCTTCAAACGGGCTGGCGTCCCTCGCCTGAGCCCCAACCCATTGACCTCACGAAGCTTGAGACCGACAGCCATCCCGATTGGATCTCCTACCACTGCGCCTTCTACCCGGATGGGTTCCGACGGGGACATTCCTACGCCAAGGCCTTCATCCCGAGAATCCCGCGCCATGAAGCCACCTTCGTCGAACAGTGGATTGAACCAGACTGAGACTGCCACCCGCAGGGCTCTCTGGTACGGACCGGGACAGGAACAGATACCGACGCGCGGTGGACCAACGAGATAATTCAATTCATAATGGAAATGCCGCTTCCGGTCCAAGAGAACCTGTTCCCGCCTATCGAAGACAAACCGTCGACGGGAAGCATAGCAGCCACGCTGGAGTTTGCCGAGCGGCAGCAGAAGGCGCGTGAGGAAGGTCGAGAAGATTGGAGAGCGCTGGAGGATGACAGCTCCACGAGACTCAAGGCGAGAATGGTCAATGTCTCGTTGACCTTGTCGACGGAGATCAAACAACGACTGCCGTCCGAGGGCGTTCGCTGGCTGTACCTGCGGAATAAATACAAGCACATTCTACAGGGACAGATGGATATGGAGGTTTTGCTGTTTAACGAGAAGATGGATTTGATTGCGATCAGTCATCAGACAGCAGTTCTTATTCCGCCGGTTTCTAAGATTCAGAAGCTGTGAGCCTGCGGTCGGGGTGTATCAGTGGCAGCGACCAGTTGAACGCTGTATCACGTAAACGGGACCGAAGCCGTCGATATTAGATGGATTTACCATGCGTCAGCATTCCTCTTGGATTATGATATTCTCTATCTTCTCGGTGGCTATCTATATTTAACCCCCGTATCCTGGATCCTTACACAAACTGCCCTCTGAACTCTCTCTCCCTTTCCCTCGTAGGTGCATTCTTCAGCTGCCCCTTCAGGATCTGCTGCGACCTCCACTCATTCCACTCATCCACCGACCTGGTCTCATTCGCCTCCCCAGACTGCAACGGCGGGACAATGCCCCCCACAAAACGCGCCAAGGACGCATTCTGTCTCGGCCGCAGTAAATACGCCACACTTCTCCGCGGGACCATCGCCTGGTCCCCGGGGGCCGTGACAACCCGATGCAGGGAGCTGCGCAGCAGGCCCCCAGTCCACAGCTCGAGGGTATCGGCGACATTGACGACAGCGCAGCCAGGCTCCGGACGAATAAACTGCCAGTTCTCGTGCACATTGGCCGCACCTGGGGGAAGGACTTGCAGCCCGCCCGCGACGTTGAAGAGGAGCGTCATAATACCCATGTCGGTATGGCCACCAAAGGAGATTTGACAGTAGTCGGGTTGCTGGGCGCTCGGAGGGGTCCAGATAAGACGGACAAGGGTCCCAGAGCGTTCCGTGGGAGGACACATGGCGGAGACCGTGCCGGGGGCAATGCCGAGGCCCGTCTCAAGACTGGCGAGCACACGATCCAACACAGCATGGCTGCAGGAGATGAAGTCGCGGGTTTGAGCTGTCTTGCGAGTGATGGTCTCCGGGTGAGGGAGCTGGGGCTCGGCGCAAGCGTTTTGGAGCATGTCATCCTGGGCGACAGAGTAGACGTAGATGTGGTCGAACTGTCCGGGCGCTGTCTTGGTGGTCCCGATCGACTTATACCTGATGTGCTCGTTAGTCAGGTAATGAAAGAGGGCAGTCGGGGAGCACCACATACCGTGTAAAATCGGGAGGTGTGTGGTGATATCTGTTCAGCATGTCGTGGTCCATCTCCGATAGGTCGCCCGTCAGAGAAAACATGTCTTCTGCATATTGCAGCATTGCCGTTCCTCGGTCGGAATCGTGCATATCCAGGAGAAAGAAACCCCACTTTTGACATGCAGAAAGGAGCTTCTGGGCTTCTGCTGGACAATTGTGTTCCAGCGCCGAGAGAGAGACTTTGGTCAGGGCCACCACGGTCAAACCCGAGGGGAAAGAGGGGCATTGCTCAAAAAGCTTGGACGTTGGCATTGCTGCGCAAGGACTGATGGTGCTTAAACCCCTTGTCCGTGGTGGACAAGATCTACAGTAGGCGGGATAAAGGGATTATATATATAGGAAAAGAACAATACTACACCCACCAATCTATAGAGACATGAGACCCAAGGTGCAATGTGACCTTTACAAGAAGTAGACCCATTTTACTTCCGGTTTTCCTTTCACATTGGCGCCAAGTCGAAATGGTTGGTTCGTTCGTCTAGGAAAAGCCCTGAAGTAAGGTATAACTTTGAAGTGGGGTGGCATCCGTAGCGTGCTACTGGCAGTCAACGTGGTGGTGGGTCACAGTGATATATAGCAGAATGAAAGTATGTCTGTTGGGCTATGTAAAGAAGATGCCCAGCAATATTTAGATGAGCTGTCGCTTTAAGCTAGCAACGTCGACCTGGTCGTGGCTTGCATTAATAGCCCATGCAATGTCACAGTCTCCGGTAATATTCACCAGATCGCCGCTTTGAAGGCGAGATTGGACCACAAAGAAATATTTGCTCAGCAGCTGCCCGTCAACGTTGCATATCATTCTCCCCATATACTGCGCGTGGCAGATCAATATCGGGAGGTCATAAGAGGTCTCGAGTCTGGGACTCCGCTCTCATCCAAGTCAGGAACTGTGATATTCTCGTCGGTAACAGGGAAGTAATTGCTCCCAAGCGAGCTCCTCAATCCGGAGTACTGGGTGCATAATTTGGTGTCGCGGGTTCGCTTCAGGGATGCAGTGGCCGCGCTGGTGGACACAGCCTCTAAACAATCTTATAGAATACTCAACCGGAGTTGCTGCAGCCATTTCTTATTTAATATGTTTCTGGAGATAAGTCCTCACCGAAGTTTACACCGTCCAGTTATGGACACAGTCCGGGAACTGAGAGCCGTTCCCATCAAATACACTTCGCTAATGGTTAGGGGAATTGACGCAACTCTCTCCACCATGTGTCTGCTTGGAGATTTGGTATATTATAGATATCCAGTATGCCTAGACAGAGTAAATCACCTCGAGCAGAATCTGAACCAGCAGCACTATATAGTCCTGACCGATCTACTCAGCTATGTCTTCGATCATTCGCATAAGTACTGGAATGAGTCCCGGCTGAGTGCAAGGTCGCGGCTAGGCGCGGTCGGTAAGCTGGACCTTCTGGGTAAGCCGGTGGTGGACTGGAATCCACTTGAGCCTCGGTGGAAGAACCGTCTTCGCGGGTCCGAAATGCCGTGGATTGAAGATCATCTTGTAAACGGTGTGATGATCTATCCCGGTGCAGGCATGCTTGTCATGGCCATCGAGGCTGCAAATCAGATCACAAAAAAGGCAGCCGGCGTGATAGGGTTCGAAATCTCAGAAGTCCACTTTAAAAAGCCGCTACACATCTCCAAGGAGCCGGAAGGCGTTGAGACGCAGTTGAGTATGCATTTAGCCCAGGATTCTGTCATGCCTCTCAACCAACCATCTGAGTTTCGGCTGTTTTCCTACAGCAACAATGACTGGCAAGAGTGATACCTTGACCGCGAAATAGTCCGTGATATTAGACAATGACCGGTATTAGGATCTAGAAGCTCCAACGCTAGAGAGGTCGTTGTTGGAAAATCTTACACTAAGAATTCCGGTTACTCGTCACTCTCTTCGGCTCCCCGAACAGATGAAAGCATATCGAGTTCCCAGCGGCTCGCGCTGGTGGTCGACAACCCAAGGCATTGACGCCGTTTAAGTTACATTGTTCTAAAAATATACTACATCTTGCCTTAGACCATGCACACATTGCCAATATCAAAATAGGAGTGGGCAGGTCGGGTTGTGGCCTAAATAGTCTTTGTCTATGGTCCTTAATGGTAGTTGCGCTGATTGCATATTACATCCAAATCTATAATCTCCAAGGCTTACGACCTTGTCTCTCTTATATCCAGGTATTCTTCTGAATATCATGGGTGGCCATATTAGTCCTGTATTTACAAGACCTTGGAGTTGGCCCTGATCCCTACATTAGCTAAACTCAATTTATACCATTTGCATGCTCCTTATAGAAAACCAATTTGGAATATCTACTATGGCAAAGTTCTCTACTCATCCGACTGGCCCACGTAAATTAATAAACAACTGGTTATATCGTATTAGCATTCCGCCGCCCGTCACATGCCAGGCAGTCTAAAGCCGTTATGTTGACATGCTGCTCGAGACAGAAAGAATCCCATTACTACACAGCTTAATTGCTTCAGTGTCTACCTGGCTGTTGCTGGCAGGTTATTTAGTCTTTCCAGGGACATTTGTAACCTTGCGTGATTCGCATTTGGTGGAACAAATGGCTAGCAAGAGCCAAACCGGGACCTTGATGGCCCATGCGATTAGTAATCCTCCTCTTCTCGCATTAGCCACAATCTCCTGTACGTTGGGCACAGGAGGTTGTGCGTGGCTATGGTGGAGGTGGCGGTCCAATTATATTTGGCCACCGCAGCGAATATTTCTGTACGGAAACCCTACTCCACATTGATGTATGTTCTTTAAGCTTATATATTGTCACTGAAGACCAGCTCTCTTGCATTCTACTATGGGCTTTGTCAATACTGTTCTCAATGTCTATACGGCTCGGCATGGAACATGGTCTATAATGGCAATGGTATCAACAGCAGTGTCGGGTTCTTTTACAGTCACCACAGCGACTATATATTTAATCATTCAGTGTTTTATTCTTTAGAAAATCAAGCGCGAACATCAATCTGTTGTTGAAGGTATGTCCGTCGGTTTGCCACGACCTGGAAGCTCTGATAAAACAGGTAATTGTGATTCGCGCCGAATTGAAGAACAGCAAGAACATTGAATAAAAACGTTTAGTATTGTGAACCCGTTAGGCGATGGCCTCGGAGATACTACATATGGCATTCAGTTAAGGAATATCTACACTTGTATTGTATGACATTGGCATGATCAAGTTTGTTTAATCTTGAGTATTTTCATCCTTAACTCAAAAACAAGGGTAGAATATATTCTACGCTGATATATACTACGTTACATAAGTACCACAGAGACTACTACAAATAATAACTGATTATATCTGAATATGAAGGCGTTACACAGAAAGAACAAGATAATGAGGATAGAAGAAAGTTTTCTGGCACCGTCAAGAGTTGTTCGTTAGTAACCTTAAATGAGTCAACCGTAGTATTACTACGGTAGAGATTTACCTGCAACATTGGTATATAATAGAATACTGATAGCAAATAGCGCAATATAGCCATCTTGCTGCCTCATACTGTTTCCTATTGAATAGCTGTTTGGCTTGGCGAGTACCACTATATAGAGTATATTCATGTCGTGTTTCATTCTCATACTCTCTGGCAACCTTATCTATAAATAATGTAGAATTAGATTTGTTATTTCACTGTTCCCTTTCTTATAACCCTATATGCTTAAGTAGTTACTTGAAAAGTAGCTACTATCTATATATATGTTCATAGATCATTGCGGATATCGCACACACCTTCAAATACTAATTTTTCATCTTTAGGTTTGCGATAGTCTGGTGAGAGTAGAAATACATATTTACCCAATACTGAGTATCCCACATGCGGCGACTCAGTCTTTTGTACCCTCGGCTGCGCTGCGTTCTGCATCTTCAACGCTACTCCTGATGGTACATAGCAATCAAAAATGAAGCGACTTATACATAGGCTACCATTAAGAACCCATCATAATAATATAAAAGAGTAACAACATTCTCTAAATCCTCCCCCTGCCATAAAACCGTTTCAGGGAAACCCGGCAGATATTGTAGTCTATATCAACTGCATCATGTTGCCTGTCCTTGTGTCACTACTAACTCTTCTTATCTGGAGTGTATCTCCTGTGCTGAGGCAAGTTGACTCTAGAGCACAATCACTCTTAAGATACGATACTAACCAAAATAGCTGTGCTCTGCCAACTTCCTACGTTGGATCACAGGGGAGTGCAGCTCCCGCTGAGCATAATCCCACATCTACGCTTCATGCTGGAAATAACATAGTGAAACCAACCGACAATGTGTCAGTTACAAAGACAGATGATCAACGTGTGCCGCCCCCGGGGCAAGCACACTCTGTGTCAGAAAAGCCTTCCATCTCGGATATCCCCGCTTCGCCTTCGACTTCGACGCTAAACCTACCCCCGTCTCCATCCATGCCGCCACCTTCACAGACAAATAATGAATGGATGTCCAATGCGACGGCTGACGCTATTTTTGCTGATTCCACAGCCACTATACGCTTATTTATCGTCGATGTTGGGACTGAGTTGCCCAAAAAAGGTGGTATCGATATGGAACAATCGCTCTTTCACCCACAGTTCATCAATGCAGCACCCGGTGACATGGTCCTATTTCGGTTCTATGGGGCGTATGCACTTTACAGCTCTGACTTCCCAGACCCCTGCCACGCACCGCGACTAAGCCTGAATGCTGTTCCAACAAGAGATAAGATCCCATCCCACCAGGTTTCGGTCCAGTCCACAAAGCCACTTTGGTTCTCGGCCAGCTTAATCGACAAGCCACACTTGTGTAATAACGAGACTGTTTTTACCGTCAATCCCGGTAATCAGAAGGAAGATTTCTTGGTCCATGCGTGATAAAGTAACCTACCTACTTGTTAAACGTGATGGGGCGAGAAATCAGTTATATTTTCCTTCGAGGGTATACTGAAGGTTGGCCATTATTGATAGGACTGTGCTACAAAAACACAGCCACTCTCGAAATCGGTTTGACTCACATAACCACATTGAAGACGGGAAGCGGGCCAACAAGAATATTCGTTATATATTTCTTGGTCAAGCCATATTCGAGAATGACCGTAACCCTTAGGTAGATAGATATAGTTCCTCAAGAATAATATATTCAACCTGTCTAGTCCTTCCGCTCTTTGGGTGTGGGCTGTGGTTAGACTAATATTTAGCGCGACTAGACGGTACTAGCTCCGATTGCCTCATACTCACAATGAGGCAGTCAGTGAAATTATGCACTTCTATTGATAGATTCAATGTATATGTTGTCTTTCTGCAACCCAGTTTACTTATGGGCGATACAGGGTATTGCTTGCTTACATAGATGTAAACACAAGAGGAGAGCCTGGTAAGATTGTCCATTCATATAAGTGCTATCTAATCGGAAGTCAGAGAATGGGGAGGAGAAAACAGTAACACTGGCACGGTGCGTGTACAAAAGTAAGGACATAAAAAAAATAAAAGTTAGATAATCTGCCTACAGATAGTTAACTAGTTAGTTAACTAGTTAGACTACCTAATTAATCATAAAATCTTTAACTAAATATTATTTTACTGATGATTTTCTTTTAAACCTCAACCATATACCTATGGAACTGCGCTCAGGTAGCTCAGTATCCCTCTATATTATTTACTCTCCATGTGCTTCATGATCCCATTTATTATTCTTGTTCCATTGTCTGCATGTGGATCAACAAGAGTAAAACCAAAATCATTGGAAATCATTGGGAACTTTAACAACTTCTTTTGAGAGTTGAGCGGCAAAGTGAGCCGGCTAGGGTTTTCCGATGCGCCTCTGTAGGAGCATATATTTGACGTTGAAGTGGAAAGACTAGTTATACTCTTGGTATTAGGTAACCTTTGAATCAAAACGCAGTTGAGCCGTCTGATTTGACGTTGGTATTCCAGTACATCAACCATTTTATCTGTATTTCGACTTATTCTGTAGCATAGATTTATGGGTTAAGTTCAACATCACCGCTACACTCAATGTAGACTATGAGATTGCCCAAGGCATTTGCGCCAGGGGAGTCTTGCTTGGTATAGCCTATCGCTCATAGAAACAGAGATACGAGCTATATTATCCCCTACATTATCCCACACACAGAGGATGAAACATCTATATGAGTTACTTCACTACACTACGTTGCCAAAATGGTGTCCCGGTGTTGTATATTTGTTTTAATACTATTGATCTTCTAGTCTATAAATAGATGAAATTATCTTTAGTAGCCGATATTAAGTGATATGATTGGTGTAAAACCATTTACTTAACTATATATGGACTAGCGGGTTCAGGGAGTCAGAAACAGAGTGTACAACGCCCAGACACTTTTTTGCAACTTAGTGTACAGTAAGTGTATAAGCAGAGTATTGCTGCACTATATTAATGCTAGTCAAAGGTAGAAGAGATAGAAATATTGAATATCTATACTTAGGTAGAAGCAGTTAACATCCAAAAGATAAGACGTGCAATGACTCAATGGCCAACTGAGGTGCATGTCATGAGCAGCCCATCAATGCACACGTTTAACAAACTTCCACCACAGGTCCATTGAAAGTGCCCTTCGCATAGGTAATGTAGTACAGAATGCCGAAGAGAATCGTTCCTCCAGTAGGTGCGATAGCCCAGTTCATTGACGACACGTTGACATATACATCTGAAGGCCAAAAGCTGAATATAACAGCAATAATCAGGTAGCATACCGTAAAAGTGTTAGTCGTGATACCCCATTTGTCTGGAATATGAAATGGTCCCCAAGAAAGGGGAGCGCCAGTTGTGTTAACCACGACCGTTGTCTCGCCATAAGGTCGAATTCCGCCTGAAAGGCGGTGGTAAAGTAGCAGCCCAGTGGCTATGAGATATGAAGAGAAAAGAGAGCTGACAGTCAATGACACCACAGCATCGAGAACAGCTTCAGACCACAGGATTATTAAAGATAGCAAGAGGGCAACGAAAACAATAGCCGCGATGGAATAAAAAGGTATTTTTCTGGAGTCCACCTGAAGCTTTATTATCAGTACCAAACAACCAACGTATACATCATAAACAAGCCTACATATACTTACCTTGCTGAGAAGTATCCACCAAGGAGTACCACGGTCTCGAGAGAAGGACCATACCATCCGTGAGGCTGCCGCCAGATTCCCAGATGCCGTAGCAACTCCTGAGATAGGCACTATCGAAGCCATAGCTATGCTACCCGGGATTGACCCTGTCGCATCGAGGAATATCTGAATATACGGATACCCTATAGGAGAGTTGAGGACATGATCAACATCCCGTAGATTGAACAGGGTAACCAAAAGTATGCCGAAGCCCAGCGATCCATTCAGTACAATACTCATCATGATAGACCGCGGTATGGTCACCGTGGCATTTCTGGTTTCCTCGGTCATCTGCAGAAATTCCCATCCAGCATTAGCTCTAAAGTCAACAGAGAGCGGAATGAATCACTAGCTACTCACATGAATAGCAGCATCACACCCTGTGAATGCAAAATTACTGCCCAGCATCCCAACGAAGAGAGATAATCCAAGACTCGGCCAACCGCCCTTGTTATTGAAGCTCCCAAATACCTCATTTGCGGATACATGGTCACCTAGATATGAGAGTGGTATTAGGATGACGAAAAACCCTGCAATATGCAAGATCAGGACAAATCCCTCAAATTTAGGCAAAAGTCTCCCAGTTCCAATATTTATAAACATCGCAAAGGCAACGTAAGCCCAGTAAAGAAGCATTACCTGGTATGGTTGAGGCTTGAACGAAGTGTGTGTTATAGTAACAAACCCCATGATCTGGGAGCTTGCCATATATACACCTGAAGCAAATGCTCCTAGCCAACCCAATATTACCAACCACGCTAATGATTTAATAAGTCTTTTTGCAGAGCATATATATAGATGTACAGGCAACGAGCACCGTGTCAGCTTACTCACCTGTTATAAAGCTAAGGAATTTATGGCACCATCGTGGCGCTAAAATTGCGACCCAATGATACTGACCACCAGAGGTCGGTGCCCTGCACACCTATTAGGCCTCAGGCAGCCGAGGAAAACGGAAAGGTAGCCTACATAGACACCAGCTCGGATAGTGTAGCAAGGGTGCAAAGGGTGCTGAACCACACAAAGAGGTAAGTATAGACTGCACCTCCGGATCCACCACTATAAATACTGTGTTAGACTGAGTGCTGCAAATCCTTGCTAGATGGAGAGTAACACTTTTGCAACGGTAGAACAAATGTGCTAAAAGTGTCAGTAGACTTCCATAAATATGGTGGCGTATACTTACGAGAGAACACCTTCCCAAGTCGCCAGGACAGTACAACTAAATCCTAATATAGATAGAAATCCGAATCTCCGCTACCATTATTAGTGACTGCTATATCCGCAGAATATGAATTTCATACGCTCTGGGTCTCGTACCTGTAAACTAGGCAACTTGCCAACACGTGCTAGTTCTCCATTGTCCTTCGCGTGGATTGAAGATGCCTCTTGTCCTGGTTCCGGAAGCGTTATGTGATCTTCGCACTCATATTGCTGCTTATCCATAGTAGCCCACGTGTCTATCAGTGGAATGAGTTCTATGATTCTATTGTATATACTGAATAAGTTGAAGGTCTTCGGGTCTAAAGCGGAAGGGGATATCAGGAGCGATCCGGTTAAAATATTCCTGAACAAGCAGCACAGGATGTAAACTGACAAAGGTTGTCTCATACTTGCAAATAGGACGGACTAATGACGCAGGGTACAAGTGATCTACCAAGTTAGAGTTTTGGAGTGTACGTATAGAGATCTTTAACGGAATGTTTCGGATACGGATAAATTACAAGCAAGGAGTATTATCACTATCATCATTCTTGACCCACTGAGACATTAAGAAAAATGACTACTCTGGAGACTGCCTTTGTGGCGCACCAGGCCCACTATCATTACGGAGCAGTTAACCACAAGAACCAGAAACACCTCCTTTGCGTGGCAGGGTGCGAAAAGGTCGTGCTGATCAGTGTGGGCGTGTTCATATATCATTTCCTTGACGGCTCTAGCCAGCTGCATACAAAATATAATAGGACCACCCTTGGCCCAGTGGTGCTGATAGTCCCACTCGTAGTCATTTAAGCGAACTGCTCGACAGGGTCTAACACAAATCTTGTCGAACTCTACCTCTGTATTGCCACGGTGGGTCGAACAGTTCCACTCATAATCATAAGGAGCCCTGCCTCAGTGCTGTGTAATTCTCAAGCTTGGGATCTACGTCCCATGCTTTCAGGTGGGGCTCTAATGAGCCTCCTGCTGTTTCCGGCGATCATTGAGTCACTGACTGGTGAAGAAGTCTAGGGATGTCTCCACCCTGTCGATCACCTTTAACCTGATTGGGAAGAATAAAAAAGTCGTCAAAAACATGAAGGTTTCATGCAACGGGTATGTTAATTAATTTCCTACTCAATGTTGGTTGGTTTTCAGAACGCCAGAATGTTAATCTACATCGTACAATAGACCCAGATTCGGATGCCAAGCAATTGTTTATCTCCACATTAGCCCTTCGAAGTCCCTTCGCATAAGATCAGATGGTCTAGTATGAAGGTTAAGCTGGTGAGTGTTTGAAGTCAAAGTACCCTAGTTTGTTTCTTAAACTTTAGATAGACACGGAGTACATCGTGATCAAGTAAGATCTTAGCAATAGTATAATATAGTGAAGAAATTGCACAATAAGTATATTTAAATATCTGGGCGAATGGTATCCCCTTACATTCTTTGATATTCCATTTTTCTTCATTATCACTGGATGACAATGGTATTTCTCACAAGCAGCAGCCAAGCGCCGATCCTCACAATTATAGCATCTATTCTATTAATATTTGAGACCATAGCAGTCTTGTCACGTGTGGGGACAAAGTACTGGATAATACGCCGCGTGAGTATGGATGATTGGATGATTATCGCTGCCCTGGTAAGTTCATATTTATGTAAGCTTCTCGAGGGGATCTAATACGAGTATATTTGGATTTTTAAGGTATTCAACATTGCACACACGACGAGCATAGCAATAGCAGCAGACAATGGCTATGGAGACCAAAGCTTGCTTCCGCCTCAGCTCCTTTTGATCGAAAAGGTGCGGGGCCCATTATTAGTTAGGTATAGGAATAGAGACACTGACTGGAGGTCAAATAGGCTGTCTATATCGCGAAACTAACCATGATTGGAACGTTATACTTCTCAAAGATGAGTACTGCTATGTTTATACTACTTCTACGTGGTTACAACTTAAGAGGTGGATTTCCTTTCCTTGCTACTCTTACAAGCTGGGCTTTTTCATCCCTTCTTGTTACAGCATTCCAATGTAGTATTCCGCACCCCTGGGACCCTGCTTCCGAAAGGTGCATTGACATGGTATGCAAAGTGGCATGATTCTGATCAAGTCGATCAAGAAATTCGAGTTGGGCTGATTCTCCTTTCCAGCGAGCTTGGGAGGTCTCTTTTACCTCAGTGAATATAGTAACAGAAGTAGCTCTCATTCTTTGGCCCGCGTTTATGGTGTGTCGAATTCAAATGCGGCTACAAAAAAAAGCTATTGTTATTGGATGCTTTGCATTACGGGCTCTGTATGTCTCCCTGCATTCTTATCGATACGCTGCCATTCTCACTGATTATTTAGGATAATACTCTCCGCTGTCTTAGAAGCAATCTTTCGAATTAAGACAGTTAAGGGCATCCAGGGCTTTATTCTTCATCCGTTTCCGGTTGGTGTCTGCACTGAGGTACTACTTTTTACTGCTATTGTTGCGCCCTGCGTACCACATCTCAAGCCTGTGATGGAAAGCCTACAGTCAGGAGGCTTTAGACTCTATCAGTGCCCCATGAAGCAAAGTGGGCAATCTGATGAAATTGCACTAATTAATGTGTGACTCATATAACCATATTTCATTCCCTCAGAACCCCTCTCTCTTTGTGTACCTATTCCGGTGGCCATCTACCAGTTTCGAAGTATTCACGATCCCCTTAGCTTTATTAAATAATACTAGTTTTATAATAAGTGTAGGCTTTACTAGTACCTATAGTAGGGTCAAGAAACAGTACAATATTAACATAATAGTGGTTCTTCTTTCAGTGCTTCTTAATATATATGTACCAGGCAATACACAAAATAGGGATAGCGTATCACCAGTAGTACTGCGACACCGGCCCACTACTACTTAGTTTACTGCAACAAAAAATTTAGGTCAATAAGCAGTTTCTATCATCAGTAGCGCTACATCTGTATTGCTTCTGGCCACGTGGATTGATATTTATTCCTCCGTATACTCTAATATCAGAATTAAAAGATCATATTCACTTCCTTACAAATGCCCTTTATTATTGCCTATTTAAGCAGTAATTAGATTATTTAAGCCACTTTAGTAATTATATCTATTACTGACCATGCAGCAGGTATATAAGGCTTACACTAAAACCTATATTTTATCAAATATCAATCTGACCAGAGACACAAAAATAAAATAACCTGGCGCTAAGCATTCAGACAAGCAAAGTTTTAGAATTTAATTTTGATGTACTCCCAAGTTCTAAGAACATGTTATTCGGGCTGCAGGATATTATGAAAACAGTTATAAATAGTTTTATTTTGACAAGTATAGACCTGTATGACCACTAAAGTCCCTTACCATAGAAAATTGGACGAATTGCCATTGAGCTGGTGGAGCGTTGGAAGATCTCCTCTCTTCCCATATGCCAACTGAGTTGTTCCGCTTTTTCCCAATGTATACCCACCATTGACGCTACTGGTGACCACATCTGAAGTCGAAAACTGCCAATAATTATTAGTAGACTATAATTGCCTTCCGGACCATGATTCTTGGACCTACCTCTGGTACCAATAAGCTACCCCATTATAGATTTCTTCATTTTTATTTTTAACAGATTTGAAGAGGGGTAACGGTGTCAGTGGCACTATAGCATTTCGCCGCGATGGGGCTAGCTCTGCAGCCGGGTTCTCTGGCGGTCGGGGTTTATCAGCAGCAATTTGGCTGGGTACAATGTGAGGTTCGTCAGTCAAATTGGCAGTGGGAGAGGTTTCACTAGACATCTGCTTTCGCAGAGGCAATATGCAGCTGTCGCCCGTTGTTGTGCCTTTTTGCTTAGGATCGTTACCCTCTTGTATCGCATTAGGTGAAGATGGTTCACTTAGGGCCATTGAAGAGACAGATCCAATTTCTTCTGTCTCCGCCGGTACTGGCTCGGGTGTAGACGGTTGTGGAGGAAGTGATGTTCTGTACATGGCACTTAGTACAGCTTGGGTGGTTGATTTATTGAGTGAGAAGTGTACTATTTCTATAGTGACATTGGTAAAGATAATGAATAGTAATAGAGAGATCTTGGATGGGCTTTTATAGTTCTACGGTTATCAATACCTAAATTAATTAAACAAAGTCTGTACCAAATCAAGCTTACTTGTGGAGGCTATAGTCCAGGGGCCCATGGTTCTATTATCGTGCAATTAGTATGTATTACAGCAAACTTCGAATAGATGGAGACTCTCGCATAAACCTAAACCTTGTATTAGATATATAATTACTTGATCGAAAGTCTAGTCTACTTGGACTGGTTGTACCTTTATTTAGACATATTTATACTGGTACAAGGGTGCTACACAGAATCTAGTATTAGCGCCAACTCGAAAGTTATTTAAAGAGTTTTCGGCTATGTACTCCGTAACAATATCTGATTTATATGATAAGAAGACTGCCCAGTGGCCAGTTGTGGATATGTATTATTATCGGGAGATACGCTAAACTGTTATAAACTAGTGGGTCAAAAGTCTGATTACACCCAAAAAAATCAGAAAAACGCAACGAATTCAAACTCGATTTTCTCAACCAATTCAAAAGATATCGATCTACAAAGTAGTTCTATAGAATCCCCATATTAATACTTTGTATACCAGCCACGTGCCTGATGTACAGCCTGAAGTCTGCGAGGCATAGATAGAATTAGGCGATCTATGACCTCTTGTGGGATAGCCCACCAGGCCTCCCTAATATGCCTTTTAAATAGGGT